TTTTTGTTCCTGCAGACAATTGTTGTTTTATGGATGTTATTTTTAAATGGAATTACTGTTCTTTTTGCTTTGTGAAGCTGCCCAGAATTCTCTGGAGTTGGGTAGCCTAGAAATTAATTAATTAAATAAATATTTTTAAAAATATTTATTTGAGCCCAAACAAAAACTTTAACTGAGTCTATATTTACCAATGCGTGTCACATTTAGAATATTGTCCTTAGGCGAAGGATTTATCTCACCTACTCAAAAATAACACTTAGATACAAAAAGAAATATTTGACTTCCTTGTTTCTTTTTTGTAATGCTTAGATCAGAGGTGTTATTCAACAGGTTCGGACCAGTTCTGGAGAACCAGTAGTGGAAATTTTGAGTAGTTCGGAGGACCAGTAAATACCACCTCTGATTGGCTCTGCCCCCATGTATTATTTGCCTCCCGAGTCCCAGCTGATTGGGAGGGAATGGGGATTTTGTAGTATCCTTCTCCTGCCACGCCCACCAAGCCACACCCACCGAACCGGTAGTAAAAAAAATTGAATCCCACCACTGGCTTAGCTGACATAATAATGGTATCGTCATTGACTTGTGAAACCTTGAAATTTAACAGTCCAATTATCCACAAAAGTTTGCAGATTACAAGCTCCCTGCTTCATTGGGATAAGTGGCAATTAATATGAACTGGCTACTTTTTTCTTTTTTTTGACCTTCATTTATGGAACGAACTCCCCGCGGAGATTCGGACCCTTACCTCTCTCCTGGCTTTCCGAAAAGCCGTTAAGACCTGGCTGTGCCAGCAGGCCTGGGGTTGATGAGCTCCCTTCCCCTCTCGACAGGTGTGGTTGTTGGTTATTTTAAATGTCTATTTTGTATTTGCATGTTCCCCTTCCCGTTGGAGTTGTTCGCCGCCCTGAGTCCCTTTTAGGGAATAGGGCGGCATATAAATAAAATAAAACTTCAAACTTCAAACTTATGTCTTCGGCAATATCCAAAAAAACACTGAGCAATAAGAATATATCTGATCAAGTTGTACCACTTAGATCTGTATCCAAAAAAGGAGTTGCACTGAGCCTGTTTCTAAAAAGAAAATCATTTTTGAAAGGTAAAAGATTCACAGGTATTCACAGAAGATTGCAGAAAAGTTCAACTTTTTCTTCTTTTCCTCTTTCTTTAACTCTCATTTAGCCATTTCTTTGATCATTTTTTCCCATGTGTAAATAGAACTGATTGTCACATTCTAACTTTACCATGTTCTGCTATCAGGTCATGGAATCCAAAATCTAATAAAGTGATATACTTCCAATTTTCATCTATTGGCATTGATAAAGATAAAACTTGTAAGTCAGCTATAATTTGTTGGAATGTATTTGCCTAAGTTGTAAGTTCAGTGAAACTGAAAGCAACTTCTTTCTGAATAGGTATGTATAAAATACATATACAATTATTGCATCATTTGTTTACAGTTTCCACCAAGACATTTTAATAAATTTCTGTATCGAACAATTAAGGGACAAAATCAAATTAAGGAAAATATCTGGTGGTCGTCTGAACTGGGAAAATAAAGTAAACCTTCTTTAGTGCAGGTTTTTGTAATGAGTACATTTGATTAAATCTTGCTTTACCTTGTCACTGCTCACTTTCTAGAGACCATCTAGCTGAATACGGGAAGACTCATTACCAAATCAAAAATCTCTAAAACAGAATCCAAGGTTGACTATAGAAACAGAGCTTTCTGAATGTGGGAACAAGGCTGAATCTCAAACATAGACTCAGAAAAACAATCCCATTTAATAATTGTACACATAGCTGCCTTTATAAACCCCCATATTGGAAAAGAGTCAACCACATTAAACCATTCTGGATATAATAAAATTCTGAGAAAATAAAACACCTCCGCACCCCAAACTTAAGGACCGATGAGTCAAAATTTAAGAAACTATGTTTTTAATGGGCCACAAGAACATTTAAACAAGGATAATTCTTCACTTGCTTTATATTTTTTCCATTTTAATGATAAAGTATATATTCACATTTTAAGAATAAAGTATACATTCAAGGTACATATTCAATAGGCAAAACAGAAACAGCTTGCTGAAGCCTGTCCAAAAGAAACACTTAATTTTTCTGTTTTTCAAAAAAAAAACCAACCCTCAATGAACAAAAATGCATTCTTAGAGTAATAAGTAAGGCTTGTTCATGTAGAAATAATAAATCCATGGCTAAACTTACTCAGTGGTGAAGGTGGGATTCATACAATTACATATTTCTGTAAACACACAGATAAAGTCATAAGAAAAGTCATAACAATAATACCCCATCTAGATAATGAGGAAAGAAGAGTTCTAATCCTGGACTTCTTCCTAGCATACTAGCTCTGTAAATGCAGAAAATTTATTTTATTGAATTTTTAGTAATCCCGATAAAGCACAGTTCAGATATTGGCTTGCTACTCCAATCAGGACTAGTTTGACCAAAATTAAAAATTAATACTGAAAATTCTGGTATTCGTTACTTTCTAACTATCATTGACAAATAATGATAATGCTGTAATCCAATTAGCACAAAAGCATTTAACTTGAAGTCAATAGAAACTCTGATCTCAAAACTCTGAATAATGTTTTCCAGAAAAATTGGAATCCTAGCACTATAAGTTAAAACTGTGTTAAGGCAGGGCTCAGGACTGCCACTAAATCATTTAAATCATAAAACTTTAGTTAAAGTAAAGTGGTTTACTAAGATCTTTATTTGGTTACAGGTTTTCAGTCCAATAAAAAGTTCTAAAATATTTGCATCATTCATGTATGTATGTATGTATGTATGTATGTATGTATGTATGTATGTATGTATGTATGTATATAGTGTCACAACCCCTGGTATGCCCCAATTATGGGAGGAAGCTAACTGCTTCCATTATCTGTCTATCGGCTCGCCACAAGAAACCATCACGGCAGAAAACCAATGTCTTTACTGTTGCCTTTTGCCACATTTGTGTTGTATTTGTGCTGATAAATAAATAAAGGGAGACTGGTATAGATCTATTTCAAGCTATATATATACACATACATGCATACATATAGTTATATAGAGCACTATAGTTCTATATACACTATTATTCAGAAGGCACTATTGTTCAAAATACAATATATGCAATTAATTATTCCAGTACTATATATGTCATATGTACTATACAAAATACTGTACAAAATTCAGGTGTAATTTTGCTGATACATGGTACAGCAATCCAGTAAACAAAACTGTTGAATTCATGTATATTGAAGCATTACCATGGTGTTTCATAGACATCAAATCACTTCCATATCCAATCTTTGTGTGTATCTGTAAATAATGTGCACGATGCACATCAAAGAATAAAAATGTGCACAACAAAACTGTTGCACCATGGGGATTTTTGAAAGATGCACATTGCACTGAACTACTGCTGTTGACCCAATCAATCACAGCAAAGCATATACAAGTTGCTAGCCCTTAAAAGTTAGGATGCTCTCCCTCAAGCATACAGCTCTAGAACCAAAATGAAGATGTCATGGAACAAATGTCCAATGCTCATATATTATCATTAGTGATCCAGACATTTTCCAATGAATATGTTTTGCGGAAGATAAAAGTTTTGAATTGGACTTGGGAAGAAGATACATAAATTCCTACAAAGCCACTAAGTGAATTGAGTGGCATTCAGGCAATCATCATATCTCAGGTTAACCTACTATTGTGAGGATAAAAAGACATAATCCCATTTTAGCTTTGACAAATTGCTGTTGCTTAGATTAGTTGCTGTTTCTCAGGCTAACCAATGATTAATGTGAAATCATGACAATAAGGATCTGCTCTTCCCAAAACTCCTTGGAGAAAAAGGCAAGATGGAAATGAAAATGCATTCAATGTTAAAAGGAGTTTTGTAAGCTTCACTGATTGTGAGCCTAGAACTCTTTCTGCAGCTTGGTCAGTTTTTCTCCACATATAGTGGACTGAACAATCCTTCCAGCCATGTTAACAATAAAACTAGTTAAACACTTCCACAGCTTGATTGAAAAGCAGTTATAAACATGTTAGATGCCACCTGCTGGCTTTTAAAAATAGTTGGATGGCTGCTTTCCCCTTTTAGAATTCTCATTCATTCCAATTAGCCATCAGCAAAGAAACCCATTGAGAAAAAGCTTGAAAGAAACTGAGGGACCAACCTCTTTCCTTCTAGAGCAGGGGTATTTAAGGCTGGTGGACTTCAACTCCCAGAATTCCCCAGCCAGCTGGTTGAGGAATTCTGGGAGTTGAAGTCCATCAGACTTAAAGTTGCCAAGGTTGGAGACCCCTGCTCTAGAACAGCGTTTCCAATCTCTGCAAGACGTGAGAAAGTTCCGTGAAAGAAAATCTTACTCAGAAAGGAGTACCTTCCCAATCTCTTTCATTCAGTACTTCTCCCTGGAAAAACTGTCACAAAGAAGGCCAGAGTCTAAATTACTTCTTCCCTAGTTAGTTTATCTTTCACTATCTTCCCCCTTCATATGTGAAGGATTGAATTTATGCTAAGGTCACCAATGGCACTGATTTCCAAATATTGCTGTATTTTTAATTGAAGCTGAGACAAGGCTTTAAGCCTGCTTTAACTGCCACCCCCAAAATGTGTTCCACAAGCACAAAAAAGCCCTATTGGGGGGGGGGCAGTTTAACATGTGGAAAGATTGTGCATCAGAGGAATGACAAGACTTTGGTCTTTTAAGGTCCCAACCCCAGTATTTAAACGTGTGCTCACTGCCCAGCACACAAGATAAAATGCACTTTAGATACAGTGATTGAAGGCACGGAATATACATCTCAAAGTGCCAATCCTAAACAAGCCAAGAGGCTGCCACACAACAATACAGAAAAAATTGCATTTCTTTGAATCCCATTAGGGAATGATTGCTAATTAGTAATTAAATGCAGATTTCCCTCTGTCTATTAAAAGAAAGGAATTTTGGGATGTATTTGTAGCTTTGGCTGCCTCCTCTTTACAAATATTTCTCCAAGCCAGAGGAAAAATTTGACTGTCTCAGGTAGGCACTGCCGGCGGCGGCGGCTCCAAACTGGCCGAGCCCATTGAGCTGCGAGGCTGTGAGGCCCATCAGCTGCTCCGCGTGTTCCGGGCAAGAAGGGGCTGGGCGCCCGGGTTGCACAAGCAGCCTGCTGGGGGCTCCATACAGCTGCGAGTGGGGAGGCGAATAGGCGTCGGGAGGCACCGCTAGGTGGCCCGATGGAGAGGCGGCGTAGGGGTAGGTCGGGGCGGCGGGCTGCCGACCCATTAAGCCGGGACTCACTGGCTGCGCTTGGAAATAGGTCTCCGTCGGGTTGCCCATTGGGCAGGGGCCCAGGTCGCTCACGCCGCTCAGGCCCAAGGAATGGTAAGGGCCCAGGTCCATCCCCATCCCCGAGGAGGCCTGCAGGGCAACTGCTTGGTGGTGTTGCTGTTGCTGTTGTTGTTGTTGCTGCTGCTGCTGTTGCTGTTGCTGTTTGGAACTGATGAGGCTGTCGATGCTGAACATTCGCGAGGCCAGCGCAGGCGGCGCCCCCGGGTACTGGGGAAGGGCGGAGAGCTGGGGGCTGTACGCGCGGACGGGCGAATAGACGGGATCGCCGCCCCCCGGGTAACCCAGAGCTCCGGGGCCACCGCAAGGACCGGGCCTCCCGACCGAAGCCACGTTGGAGGTGAAGGCGCTGGCGCTGGGCATGTAGCCCGGGTAGGTGGTGAGGTCCGTGCGCTTAAAGCGCTTCCTGCGGCGCAAGAAGCTACCGTTGTCGAACATGTCCTCGGCGGCCGGGTCCAGGGTCCAGTAGTTGCCCTTGCCCGGGTGGCCCGGCTCGCGGGGGATCTTGACGAAGCAGTCGTTGAGCGTCAGGTTGTGGCGGATGGAGTTCTGCCACTTCTTGGGATTCTCGCGGTAGAATGGGAAGCGCTCAGTGATGAACTTGTAAATGCCGCCCAGCGTCAGCCGCCGCTCCGCCGCGTTGGCGATGGCCATGGCGATCAGGGCGATGTAGGAGTACGGGGGCTTCCCTCGCTGCACCGGGCGCTTCCTTCGACGGCCGCCACCGCCTGCGCTGGCCGAGGCGCCGGGACCGGCCGACTGATCGTCCGCAGGCTGCTCGGTTCCTCTGTCCGCCGGGCTCCCTCTGGGCTCCGACTTGATCGAGAAGGGCTCCACTTTGCAGCTCGACGGGGAGGCCCGATGCAGAGCGGGGGAATCCGGGCTTGTCCCCTGGCTGGGAGAATGGAAGGCGTCGGCTGTCATTGTGCACTTACCGGAGAAGAAGGAAAAGCCGGCTAGATTCATATACAAAAAAATAAAAAATAAAAAGGGCCGGGGTGGAAGGGGGCGAATGCAGCTCCCGCAGGGACCAAGTAGGAGGCCGGGGGTGGCTTTATATAGCTCGGTCCTGGCGCCACCCTGGGGCTCCCCCTGAACGGGGCGGTGGCTGCCCACCCACCACCTGTGCGATCCCTTCTCCCGACCGACCAAGCGAGAGTTTTGAGAACGAGGCGGACAGCGCTCCAAAACCCGAGGCGGGGTGTCTTTGGTTACCTGCGCCAGGTGGAAGGGCGGTTTTCCTTGCCCAGTTACAAGCGCAGCCCCATCCTCAAGGGGGTTTCTCAACAACCTGCCCCAGGACGTTCAGAGGGACTTACACGCAAAGCCGGTGGCTCACACCTTTTTTTGCAATAAATAGTTAGTAAGCACTTCTCGCGAACCATCGGAGGCTTCCTCGGCTGCTAAGCCCCTTTAGCTTTTAAGAATTTTACTTTTTTGCTTTGAAAGTGGAACTGCTTCAAAGCCAAAACCGCTTTGGAGATTTGGAAAGGCCGAGTGGCGAAAGGCGCCGGGAGAGGCGGTTGCGTGAGAAGAGGATTAGTTGGGTGTTTGCAGGAGGCCATCCCCATTGCGTAGACATTTGCCGCGGATAGAAATATGGTTGAAAGGCACAGATATCAAGAAGGCGTAGGAAGAATGCCTTCCAGTCTCCTTCTGTCCCCTACCTACGCGGAGAGAGACTTGGGCAGGGGATTGTTGGAAACTGTTCTTGAATGAATTGGCCAATGGCAGAGTTAATGCTATCAGATACTCCCAAATCACTTAGCGGTACCAAAGGATGGTTTTTTTCTCTTTCCCCAGAGAACTTTAGATGCATGGCATCCACACATTTCCCCCCATTTAGCAAAAGAACCCCTGTGCATTTTCTCCTTGGGTCCATGCAAAATAATCCCACCCCAAACTGTTCTCTTCCCATTGGTGATATTCATGTCTTCACTGGTTCTCTATTGGTTGTGTCTTTTGCAGTCCTCCTGATTTGTGTGGAACAAGAATTAGTTTGCTGGCTTTTTCCTTTTGGCACCTGGGGTGGGGGGAATCTTATTGGGGAATCTCCCAATAAAGGGATTGCAGAATTGGGAAAATATCAGGGTAGAAATAGCCTTGGAGAGAGAAAAGGCCAGTCCCTGCCATAAATGTGCAACTAAACTTGATACTTACAGCCAAAAGACTGCTGTATCCATGGTGGCGCAGTGGTTAGGATGCAGCATTGCAGGCTAGTTCTGCCCACCGCCAGCAGTTTGATTCTGACCAGTTCAAGGTTGACTCGGTCTTCCATCCTTCCAAGGTCAGTAAAATGAGGACCCAGATTATTGGGGGCAATATGCTGACACTGTAAACCGCTTAGGGACAGCTGCTTATATTAAAATGCACTTTTATATGAATGCAGATTGGGAGAGCAAACAGCACTCCAATTGGATTATTCACTCTTCCCATGTCCTGCCTGCTGGAGAGATCTGCAGTTTTTCAAAGTTAGTTAACTCTTTTGTGCCACTTTAAAATACTTTGAAGAATGGGGGGGGGGGGGGCGATAAGAAAAAACATTGATACTTCAGAATTTTGGTATTGTAGAGGACCTCATAGAATTTCATGGATAGCCAAGAAAACAAGCTCTGGATAATCCAGAGTTTTCATTTGAGACACAAATGAACAGACTCATATTGTCATATTTCAGAAACATTATGCAGAGACCAGGCTTTCCTGAGAAATCCATAATACTGCGGGGTGGAGGAATGGAACAGAAAGAGAACCAGAGGATGGCCAGCAGGCAGTTGAATCAATTCAATTATAGCAGTGATGAGTGCATGGTTGGGAGACCTGAAAGACAGGATGGGGACAGATTATCCTGGAGAGGGTCTATGTAGTTTCTATAGGTTGCTATAAGTTAGCACCAGTGGTGGATTCCTACCGGTTCGGACCAGTTCAGCTGAACCAGTAGTGGTATGGCGCCCTCGGTCACTGGATGCGCAAAACATCCTCTCAGCGAACCAGTAGTAAACTGGTTAGGAACCCACCATGGTCAGCACCAATTTAAGGGCACATTGTCTATCAAAATTGCAGGCAACTTGTTATGTTGAAAATGTCTTCCTCCCCCTTAGGACAACAAACATTCCTATACAAATTTGTTATTCATTTCTGAGTGTAGAATGATGACTTTTTAAAGCATCATCTAGTTCCAAATTGAGGCAGTCGAAATGATTTTTTTGGAACTTAGTTTGTAACTACAAAGAAACTGTCTGATACATACAAAGGCTGTTTCAAACTTGTATCTGTAGTTTGAATCAGCATCAATATAGCATTATATCAAGCAATCTGGATCACCTATTGTTGGCCTTGCTGCTTCCCAGCTTCATATGGATTTAGGTAGTCTTCTATTACCATTTCAGGTTTTGAATTGAAATTGTTTCCCTAGTTAAACCAACAAGGATACAACATACGCGCACACACAAAGATGTATAAATCTGTGCTCCCTTTTCAGGACAATCAAATCAGGTGTCCTTCCTCTGGGATTTTCTACAAATGTGAGCCTATTAAGTGGTGTGATCTACACCTAAGTAGATCATATTGATTTCAAGGATAGGAGGCTTCAAAAGACTGCTATCCTATGAATAGTGACTTAGGAGAAAACCTCTGGATGGGATTTGGACTTGGAATGATACTACTGTTGCTCCCATACTTAAACTCAGAATGATGAATTTCAGTTATAATCTTAGGAAGAGGAGCAAGCAATGCCAATCAAATTGACAGATGATGGGGATGATATTTATAACAAGATGCTGAACGAAAGCCCTGCAATTTACAGGGTTTTTGTATAATTACCTGAGGATGCTGAGCACATAATTAATATTATTATGGCCAACTAGCAGGCTGGAACCTGCCAATTTTCAAGGCTTTCCCACTGTATCCAATACACCAAATAAATGAAATCCAAACTGAATGACTACATGAATTTTAGTGGATTAATTATAATGAAATTGTCTGAGAATAATTCTTCCACATTTCTGTATTTATCATTATACTTGCTCATTGCTTACTTAAGCATGGGGCCCTTCCTGCATTTTCTGGGCTTTACTTTTCCATTGTTTGAGGTTTATCTTGTAAAGCAGGCACCAAATGAAAGTTGCAATAAACATGGCTCTTCTCAGTGCTGTGTTCCATACTTCTTAAGTTTCCATGACACATGGTTTACTGAATATGCTACCTATGGGATTCATTCATGCTGCTTTTACCCTGTTTTCCTTTTGTCCTGGAGCTGGAACTCCAGTCACCATAAATCTTGCTGCTCCCATCCTTCCTGCACATCCAGAATGAGAAGATGTCCTAGAAAATTGATTGCGTATGGTAAATTGTCCTCCCATCAGCTGCAATTATATGCTTGCTTTCCTGTGGCTTTTCAGCACAAAGAATTCCCAGCATTTGTCCACTTTTTCTGCTGGATTCTCATGACACTGTCGTCATTGCCTTAAACTGTCTCGAATAGAAGCTCCTTCGTGCCTGCAATCTGTGGGTTGGACTAAGGGTGTAAGGAAGATGGAAAGAACAAGCAAGCTTTGTCCTTGACTGGAAACATTCACACATCCTGAATCACACATACCTCTAATAAAAAAATATCAAAATGTATGGCCATATGAAGTTTTGCAGAAGCAACTGAAAATGTGTAATATATGCACTGAAAAGCAGCAGTATACAGAATCCAGGTCTTTCTGCCCATTAAAATTGAACTTCTGTGTAGCACAGAATTAGAAACTTTCAAAAGAGAGTTAATTTTGCTCCCCCCTACACACACACACCCCACACACAAAGATGTTCTGGTGCTCTTTCAAAACATTAAGTGTATGTATATAAGAAGCCTATATAATATCTGACAAATGCCCCAGATTGCATTAGGAGAGCACAATTGGTGAAGCATGCCAGATTGTAACCACAGTAAGAATTGTATTGGGAGAAAAGAACACAACAACAAAAAGGAAAAGTGCTGTAAGAACTAAGGATGACTTTAAGTTGACATTGGGTTGTAGATATTATGAAAGTGATATCATGAAGTTACATCACATTAAAACAGCTAACATGACATCTTTGTTCCACTGTTGAAGACACCTGAAGATGAACATCTTCCATATGTTTTTGCACAGGCCCTTGTAGAAAAGGTTGAACTCTGATGTCCCAAAGGTGCTTTTCAAAAGGTAATTGGACTTTGTTGGTTTTTACCTTGAAAACGTTTTGCTACTTGTGCTGTCCCAACAGTATACAGCTAATTTAAAAATTAGAAGCTGTCTCCTTTAAGCAACTATCTCATGGGAAATGTAACTACCTTGTGGGAAATGTAGTCCCATAACATGTGACCATATCTGTGCTCCCTGATTGGGCAGTGGGGTATTTTGCCCGGGAAATTGTTTTATTACTGCGCACTCAGTAAATCGCCATCAGCACTAGCAGAAGCAGCTTTGTACCAGCAGCATGGGTTAGAGGAATTAATGTCTTTTTACACTACGTGAAGGGAAAGATCAGGG